CCTCAAGGAGCTTACATTTTAGTAGTAGAGATAACATGCAAACAGCTATGTTCATACAAGAAAAATACAATGTAAATGGAAGACACCAAGAAGTAAGAGAGAGAGAAGGGGGCGGGGCTTGCCAGGAGGTGAAGGTAAGGAGCCAGAACATTCCAGGCCTGGAGGGCTGTCCTTACACAAATGCTGGACATGGTGTGTCCTATGTGAGGAACACCCAGTAGGCCAGCAGAACTGAGTTGTGGAGTAACCAGAAGAGAATGAAGGGTAAAAAGACTGACAAGCTAAAAAAGAGGCCAAGCTGTGAAGAGCTTTAAATGCCAGACGCAAGATTCTGTCTTTGGTCATAGAGGTAATAGGGAGCCACTGGAGTTTATTGAAGAGGGGAGATGACATGGTCAGACCCGTCAGACCCGTACTTTAGCGAAATCACTATGGCAGCTGAGTGGATTGGAGTGGGGAGACAATTGAAGCAGTCCAGAGCCAAATGGCTATTGCAGTTGTCCAGGTGAGAAAGGGGATTGAGGGCCAGTCACTAAGATGGTAGCAATGTGAGTGTGGAGAGGAAGACTTAAAGGAAAACACACCCCTGATCATTTATGTTGTGTTTTGTGAAAAGGCTTTCATGTGCTGAGTTATTTTCAAGAGTTTTGCTTCTTCCCTCCCATCCCGCCTTAGCACTTTTGAAATAAGAAGTCATAAGAGAATTTCAAAGGAAGCCAAGATTTAGAAGAGGAACTGAAGAGAAAGTGAAGGAGCAAAGAGTAAGACAGACCAACTGAGCTGCCAAGAGAAGGCACCTGAGAAGACCCAGGCTGTTGGCATCTGGTCAGTCATTGTTCTCTCTGGGTCTGCGGGGCCATTGGGACCCACACTTGCAAGGTGAAAGACAATCAGCCTCCTCCAGTACTTTGGCTGCTTTTTGCTCCTTTCCCTAATTTAGTACAGGCCTTTCCTTACGCTATATTCCTAGCTCAGAATGCCCTCCTCCTTCCTCTCTGCATCTCCAAATTCTTTCCATCTTTCAGGACTAGCTGAAGTTCCGACCACCCCCATGAACCTTTCTCTAATTAGACTCATGGAATATTTAGAGCTGAAAGGGACAATAGACCTCCTCTAGTCCAACTATCTCATTTTCTTTGGAAGGAATCAGATGTCAAGTAATCTGCCCAAGGTCACAAAGGTAGTAAATAGGACAGCCAAGACTTGACCCCAGGTCCAGCGTTCTTTCCACTGACCCGTACTGCCTCTGGCCTGTGGACTCCAGACTTCCCACAGGGTTTTGCCAGAGTGTCTTTGGGGGATGTTTTCTAATCTGCTTAGGCCTGAGTTACAGAAAGGCCTAGAGAGAAAGGCAGCAATAGAAAACAGTGTGACGGCCTTTGGAGCGGCAAGGGTCCCGCATTTTGTGGAAGAAGCTGCAGTTGGTGCAGGCTGTGGAACCAGAAACCAGGCCTCTTGACTTTCTGTTAGTGATCCTCCTTCCTGCTCAACCAGTGGGAAACTGACTGTTTCTAAGGCAACAAGAGAAAAGTAGAAAATTCAGCCTGACATCATTGCTTTAAACATAACCTGAAGAAGATAATGTGTTTATCATTCAATCACTAAGCATGTATCCAGTGCCTACTATATACTAGATATCGTGTTAGACATTGAGTATACAGAAACAAAGGTGAAAGAGTTCTTTCCCTCAAGGAACTTACAATCAAGATGGGGGAGAGCCAACGGGCTCGTCTATGGGTACGTGCAAGATTTTGTTGTTGGGCAGGTGTTTCAGTCATGTCCGACTCTGCATGACTCCATGTAGCATTGTCCCAGCAAAGATATTACAATGGTTTGCCATTTCCTTCTCCAGCTCATTTGACAGATAAGGAGCTGAGGCTAATAGGGTAAAGTGACTTGCCCAGGATCACACAGCTGGTAAGTGTCTGAGGCCAGTTTTGAACAAGATAGATATAAGATAATTGGGGGGGCATTCGTAGGTGGGGGTACCCAGCAAGGTCCTGAGTAGAAGCTGACACTCAAGCTGAGCTTTGATCCGAAAGGGAGTGTTTCATTTTTATCAGCAGTAATAATAAAAAGCAGAAGAAAACCTTCCCTTTTCTCCTTGAGAAGTCTGGCTAAGCCTGGAGACATGATCTCATAGCAGTTGGTGCTGGGAGTGGCAGGGACGAGGTGGTGTGACTGGGATGGAACCAATTAATTCACAGTGTTCTGAGCCACCCCAAGCTCTTCCCCCTTGTATTCACTGGGCTAGGGTGAGGCCTTGTGACACAGATTCGCTTTAGAAGTGCCAGGCCTATGGCCAGGCTTTCTTTCCACGTCAGAGATAAGGTTGGCTCTGGGCTTGCCTCCTGCAGAAAGCACTGCCGTTCACTCCTTTGAGAATCAAGAGGGGATTGGTTTACACGACCTCACCTTACCTGCACAGCTTCCTTGGTCTCATTTCCTTGGCTGGGCTGGGCTGGGCTGGGCTGGGCAGGTTTGCTGTTGGGTAAACCCTTGCCAGGCAAGTTCAGTTAGCCTGGGAACCAAATTTGTCGCTTTTCACAATGCTTCACCATTTGTGTTATTCCCACTTTTCCCCTTACGCTCCACCCACCCCATCACTTTTCCATGCTCTTCTCCCAGCTTGAGTACTTTTTATAGAATACTATCCCTTTTTTTGAATCTGTTGGAATCTAATTGAATGACCAGATTTCCTTTTAATCTGGCCAAAGTCATTGCAAGGTATCAATTTCTAACCTATGAAGTTATCTTTACTACAAATGTCAAATAGGTCTGAAGCCAGAAAGCATTTCTGAAATCCAGAAGCAATTCAAAATGTGTCTCTGTTCTGTTGCTATTTTTTGTTCATCTAAGATTTATTGGGCAGTTGCTCTATAGGGCTGAATGTTTTTGGTTAATGCTCATAACATGATGAGATGATGGAAAGATACCTATCGCTCTCATCTCCATGTTAGTATGGGAAGAAATGAGAAATAAGGAGTGTGCTACTGGGATTTGGTGGGGCAGGGCATACTTGTTGAATTGAATGGAATTAAAATATTATATTCTGAATATATTTGGAAGGGGATTAGATTTGTTTTTGTTTGGCCCCTGAGGACAGTACGAGGAGCTATGGGTGGAAGTTACAAAAAGAAGAAAATGTAGATTTGATATCATAGGCATGTATAAAAGATATGACCAGGCACAACCTAATATCTGAAAAAAAAATTTTTTTTTGAATATCATTTTTAAGGTTTGTATTTTTAAAGTTTATTTAATTCTAAAAATTAAGTTTTAATTTATTTGGCTTGATGAATAAAAATAATTAACTGTGATTGAGTATTCAATAAATATTTAACCTTAAAAATTTCTAAATAGATAGATAATTTGTTATGTGTTTACCATCTCTCTGCCAAGCACTGTGCTAAGTGCCAGAGATACGCACACACACACACACACACACACACACACACACACACACACACGCAAGACCGTTTCTGTCCTCGAGGAGCTTACATTATAATAGGGTAGAAGAAAATATAAAGGGCTACTGGGGTGGGGTGAAGGTAGTCTGAATTAAGAAAGCCTAGTGAAGAGCTAGTAAGAAAGTGCTACAAAGGCGTGAGCCTCTGGTAAGATAAGGCAAAAGGTCACCTATGGAGGATGGGGGTGGAGAGGGGAGGAAACTGAGGGGCAGAGGTAGAATTGAGGGGTGAGACAAGTTGGAGATGGTAGTCCCAGAAGAGAAAGCATTGTGAGGAGGTGACCAGAAGTGGGTTTTTTTGTTTGTTTTTTGAGGCAATTAGGGTTAAGTGACTTGCCCAGGGTCACACAGCTAGTAAGTGTCCAAGGCTGAATTTGAACTCAGATCCTCCTGAGTCCAGGGCCAGTGCTCTATCCACTCACTGTACCACCTAGCTGCCCACATTTTTTTTAAGTGTCCAAAAAGCATGTTTACTGATATGTGTCAATTCATAAACTTTGTTAGGGTTAAGGATATAGTAACATTTTAAATTGCCTTCTAGGAATAGGTGTAGAAATTTGTTTATAACTTAACCCTTCCCAGCAATACAAGGATCTAAGACATCTCCAAAGGCCTCATGATGGAAAATGCTGTCCACATCCAAAGAAAGAACTATGGAATGGAGTTGGAATGCAGATCGAAGCAGACTATTTGCTATTTTTTTCTCTTCTGTTGAGTTTTGTTCCCTCTTTCTGGTGGTTCCTCCTATTGGTTCTAATTCTTACCTACAACATCACTAATGTGAAAATATGTTTAATACGAATGTATATATATAGCCTATATCAGATTGTATGCCGTCTTGGGGAGGGTGGTGGGGAGAAAGGGGGAGAAAAATTTTGAACTCAAAAGTTTATGGAAGTGATTGTTGATAAATCAAAATAAATTAATAAAAAAGAAATTTGTTTATAAATAAGAATAAACCTCCAAGTTAATATATTGGTTCATTGCCCCACAATTTTTTTATACCTCAGTTAACAAAGAGGAATTCCAAGTATTGCTAGAAGATACTGAGCTGGGTCTTTGGTTGCTATTTTGTTCCTCTGACAAGACACCTGACATTGGAAAGGACTGGGCATGATCCTTGGGCTGATGTCCGCCATTAGACTGTCTGGATGAATCCTGGCCCATTCATAAAGGCAAGGCTCCATACTTAATGATACTGCCTTGTGCCAAATGTTTGGGGCTGTGGGGGGGGAGGGAGGAGAAGGGGAACTTTCAGAACTTATTTGTAACTTAGACACCTGAGAAAACCAGTGGCATTACTGACTTCACAGTCATGGCTCATGACTTTTTTTTTTTTAAACCAGAAGGAGCACCACCCAGGTTGATCACCCACCTTACTTTCCAGCAGTGGCTCCATATGGTTTATGGTTGTTTCCCAAAACCCTAATGAAATGTGCTGTATTGACCTTTGCTGGTTGCCGGGAAAAATCTTCCTAATAATTAGACAAAGCTGTCCAAAAATGTAATGGGTTGCTTTGAAGTGGTAGATTCCTCCTCCTCGGAGGCCTTCAAGCAGGGCTGAATGACCCCTTCGTAGATATGTTATAGTGGAGATTCCTCTGGAGTACAGATTTGACTACATGGCTTCTGAGATCCGTTGCAATTCTTGAATTCTGTGTCTATACTTGGACACTGGCTAATGCTCATGATCGACCACATAACCTGCAGTGACAAATGATAAAGGTTAGATAATGGGGGTAGCTAGGTGGCAAAGTGGATAGAGCACTGGCCCTGAAGTCAGGAGTACCTGAGTTCAAATCTGGCCTCAGACCAAACACTTGACACTTACTAGCTGTGACCCTGGGCAAGTCACTTAACCCCAATTGCCTGGAAAAAGAAAAAGAAAAAGGTTAGACAATAGGGGAGGAAACAAGGAAGAAGCCTTTTGGGATCAGCAAGTTGTATCTTCTCACTTTTCCTTCTCCCCGTATCAGGGTGGGACAACAACCATGAGGACCTATGAACTAGAGGAGCCACGATTTAGAGGTTTCAAAGTTATCTACTGAAGCTCAGCTTTGGATGCAGAGCTTTGGATGCAGGCTTTCTTCAGTCTAAGTCCCCTTGTTGGCCAAGGAAATCGGAATGCCAGGTTTTGCCACTCAACCGTTCTCCTGGGACCCATTGTTCACAGTCGGGGGATCTCTTTCTCCTCTGGCATGAAAGAGGAAACTCCCTCTATCAATGTAATGTATAGTCTTAGAGAGCTATCTAGAGCATTGTGAGATTATGAGACTTGTCCAGAGTCACACAGAGAAGAGACTTATCACAGGTGCAATGAGAAATGTCTTAGCATCTTTTTCTTTATGTAAATTTAAATAGTTAACCTTTTTGTGTGTGTATGAGGCAATTGGGGTTAAGTGACTTGCCCAGAGTCACATAGCTAGTAAGTGTCACCTTTCTGAGGTTGGATTTGAACTCAGGTCCTCCTGATTCCAGGGCCGGTGCTCTATCCACTGCACCACCTAGCTGCCCCAATAGTTAATTTTAGATGGTGCAATTCAGCATCAGGAGAAGAGCAAGGACTTCCAAGATTTAGAAGAAGAGGGCTGAGTAAGGCGAATATAATTTTTAAGCACCTTAACCCTTTTACATCATTTAAGAAGGACTTTGGATGTCTGGCTTGATCAGTTAATAGAGTGTGATACTCTTAATAGCAAAGCTGTTTATTTGTCTACTCTAGACATTTGCTAAGGCCCAGAGCAGTTGGACCCTACACCTAGATGTTCAACCAATGTTTGTTGATAACGATGAATTACCTATGGCTTATTTATGACTCCTTGTAATAACAGAAAAGAGATAAGACCCTAGAATACGAGCTCTGGGGTTTTTATTCCATTAGGACATATTGGTATTCTAAAATTTCTACTGAATTCAATTTTATCATACTCTAAGGGAAGATGGGAGGGTCATACAGATTAGACTTGTTTTGCAATCTGTGAAAACAGAACAAGAAGCCATGTGTGGAAGTTATAGATGGGCAGATTTTGGCTTGATGTCAGGAAAAACTTCCTAACAGTTAAAATTATCCAAAAAAGTTGAAATGGATTGACTCTCTCACTAACATCCTTATGTGAATGACCACTTTGGGAATCTTGTCATGGGAAACTCTTTTTCAAAGATAGGTTGAGTTAGATGACCTGTGATGTCCCCTCCAACTCAGAGATTCTGTGAGTCTATGACATCATCTGTGACCTTTGAAAGAGAGACTTCAGTAGAGTAGTGGGATAGGAAGACAGACTGCAAAGAGTTACTTGTAGAGGGTGTAGGTGGTGAGGAAGTAGAGGCTGAATGTAGATGGTTCTTTCTAGGAGCGTAGCACTGAAAGGGAAGAAAGACACAGGATATCAGTATAATAAGCAGGCACTTTGGCCTCTGCCAATGTATCATAGTTTTGTCAGAGTTTTGCACACCAAGATTCATTGAGAGGCTATGTGATTCAGTGCACAGACACCACCATTTGGAGAAATCAGTAGGTGGCTATGAGTTCCTATGTTCCATCAGTAAGAAGCTGATCCATAGGTTCAGTGAGAGAAAAGACTTGTATTAATGTTTGGCTATCTCATTCCTGGGAAAAACTATAAACCCAACTATGAACAACTTTTCGTCTGTCTGCTGCTGGGGGCTAAAAGAGGATGCTGATTGAAAGGGATTGTGAATGGAGGCTGCCATCCTGAGTGCCTTGATATTACATGATTTTGGAGTTAGGAAATGCACCTGTGATTTCACTGATATATCTAATTCCCTCTATGACTATAGATCAGCACCTTCTCTGTAATTTATGGCCTTACAGAGTTGCCTGAGGGTATTGAGAATTTAAGTGACTTGCCCAGGATCACCAGAATTTGTCAGAGGTAGAACTTGAATCCAGGACTTCCTGACTCTGAGGTCAGCTTTCTATTTATAGCATCACACTGCTTCTACTTGCTTTTGTTAATTTTTAATAATCTGATTAGAGAGCTGCCATTGTAAGACCTTTACAGAAAATACAATGGAGTAAAGAAAGAATCCTAAAGAAAGAGGCCATGCCATGAGCTGATGGGGTAATTCACACCAACACATAACCAGATAAAAGTGAGAACTCTCACAAAGGGGTAGAGCCATGAGATGAGTCCGAGAGAGGTGAAAGGAGCTGGGATGATGTCCTAAATCACCTACTCACGTTGGGTGGTCCATATAAGAAATGAGAAGGAGTGCTTGCTCAAGCAACAGCAGCTTCTTTCTAATTGATAAATAAGATTAGGCATTGGCTATAATGCCCCATGATGTCCTAATGGCTTAAGGGGTTGGTAGGTCAAGTCAGGGTTTTTTAAGGGTAGAGAGATGTGAGCATGTTTATAAGAAGCACCAAAGAATCAAGTCCGGAGAATGACTCTGAGGTACAGGAAGCGAATAAGGCTCATAAGAGTTTCCATTGCAGGAGTGAGGGTGTTTTCTGTCTCCATTGATCTGCATTAATGAATACATTTACTCCAGCCCTGCTCGCAGATTGGGTTGAGAAGCCTCCTTCTGCTGTCTATCCAACCTACTGTGCTGCAGTAGGTTGTATCCAATCTACTGCAAAACAGTACCGCTCATTATTACCACTGAGCTAGAACTTAGGTAAGCTGCTGTTGCTGGACTGGACCCCAAACAGACGCAGAGCTTCAGATACTAGGTCTTTCATCTCCCTGACTTTGTCCAGGACAAGAGGTCAGACATCAGGTCTCTCACTTCCAGGACTCAGCCAACAAAGTGGAGAATTCATCTTTTACAAGAGTGTGTGCCCAAATTAACATGGATCTTTTGTTTAGGAATCCTAAAAAATGTTGTTTAGCAATCCTAAAAATCCCTAAGTAAACTATGTACTTTTGTTTTAACATGGTTGTGGAATTTCATCTTTTGGGTCAAAAGCACTATAAAGTATGAGTTGGGAGCTGTTTGAGGTGGTTGGGATTGGGGTGTCCTTTTGGTGTAACAGAAAGAACTTGGCCAGTCAGAACCTCTCTCCAAACAGGGGATTGTACAGTTAATAGATAATGTGTCTATGAACAGATTGGGTTAAAATGCAAGAGTAAACTATTTTTCAAATTTTGAAAGACATAAACTCTGATCAACGTAATTACCAACCATGTGATTCCAGAGCATGGATGATGAAGCATGCTCCTCACCTCCTGACAGAGAGAAGAGGGATTTAAGATGCCAAATGAGACGTACATCTTTGGACAAGGCCAATGCAGAAGTGTGTTTGATTGATGACGCCTATTCTTTACAAGCATTTCTTTTTTCAGCTGCAAAGTGGGTGGGCAGGAGACTGAGAAAACAAATGCTGGTTAATTAAAATAAAATTTAAAAAGTTAGAAAAATAAAATAAGTGGAGGGGTTAGCTTTGGCATGGGGAAAGGCCACATTATCCTCTGAGAGAAGGGTTAAGAAGAGAGGATGGGTAAAGACTAGGGAGGTTTTGAGGGGTAGAGGATAGGAGTTAAAGGAACTGAGAAGCACTGGACTCAGTTTTCTTGGTAAAATAAGAAGCAAGATCATCTCCTGAGAGAGGGGGATTTGGGAGTGGCATGGGAGCTTGAGGTTTAGAATAGTGGGGAGTGTAATATAGTCGGTAAGAGACAGATCAAAGGATTACTATGATCTGTGCAGTAGACAACTGAGGTGATAGGATGTGAATTTTTAGTAGAACCCTTCTGCATAGTTTTGTGACTTCCTAAGAAGAATAGATAAATGTATATATGATCATTTGAGAAGACAGTGTAAATAATTCAGAGAATTAGAAGAGGCTTCCTGTGGGAGATGGTACGTAAGCAGAGTGTTCAGCATTTTAGGAGTATGAACTGAGAAGGCAGATGATTTAGGGCAGGGGTAGAGAACCTTCAGCCTTGATGCCACACGTGGCCCTCTAGGTCCTCAAGTGCAGTCCTTTGAGTGAATCCAAAGTTAATAGAACAAATCCTCTTAATAGAAAGGTTTGTTCTGTAAACCTGGACTCAGTCAAAAGGCCGTACCCAAGGACCTAGAAGGACACATGTGGCCTTGAGGCCACAAGTTCCCTGCCCCTGGTTTAGGAAACCCAAGGTTAAAGACTGGAAGCCAGGTGTGCTGGATCTAGCTTGAAGCAGGGGCTGAGCTGGTGGTTAAATTTTCAGAGTGAACATTTATACCTCAGAAATCAGCAAACACTACTAAGCAGGACTTGGTTTATTGTTTTGTTGATTGTCTAGCCTTAAGAAAGATTTAACAATGCAGATTAATCCCAATTGCATTTTTTTTAGAGAGCTGGTTGTTAAACACTTACTAGCACACCCTTGACTGAAAGGGTATGGAGGACTGAAGACTAAGGGAGCAAAAGGATTTAAGAGTGGAAGACACTGGAAGACATCGAACTGGTTAACTATAAGATCAAGATGGTAGAGGAAGAAAAGTAAAGTTAGAACAAGAGTGTTAGAGTGGAGGAAAAGGAAGAAATGGAGAGACTGCAGGTGAGGTGGAGGTAAAGAAAAGTTTTAGAAATGATACAGTGGGAAATATGAAAGGACAGAGTATGATCACAGGGAAAATTCAGAGTTCAAGTTCACAGAAGTGGCATACTATGTAATGATGTTGGAGGGAAAACTGTGACCACATCTGTTCAAGGTTAAGTGAGAGCTGCTGAAGGTGGTGGACTGAGGGCCAGA